CATGGAGAAGGTCAACGTCCTCAACATTTTTGCATCAGACTTCACTACCAAGTGCTCCAAGTTGCAACCTGGTCTGGTGGGAGGTGTCCCTGCCCATGGTGGGGACTGGAATGAGATGAACTTCAAGGTCTTTTCCAGCCCAGGCCATTCTATGATTCTAGGAATCTAAATTGGCAAGTATAATCTTGGGCTAATGAGCTGGAAAACACTGAGCATTACAGCTCTTAAGCAATGCCATTAGAACTCTCATTTTGCCCTTTAAAAATATGAGAGAGGAAACATCTCATTTATTTTATGGTGCCCTTTAACAGCTGTACTCAAGGGACACCCAAAACAGCAGAAAGCTGCATTGGCAAAGTTAACTGATATGCAATCAGATGCAGGAGTCAGCTTCAATTTATTAAGTTCCATTTTGCCTTCCCATACAACCATCCCCAAGAGAAGAAACAACATAATTGTACAAATTTGTTGACAACATTGCAGGAGAGAAAGGTCCCCATTTTAGCAGCAAGGCTGTTAAGGTAAATTTACATATAGCCTCCAAAGTGGAAACAAGACCAACAATTCCATGTCTACTCTTATCTGTAAAACTTGAAAGTATTGTAAGAAATAAATGCAAAAATTTACAAGTAAAGGATGCAATATTTTAAGTTATTAAGAAATTTATTGTTTTTAACATCCATTACTGTTACTGAAGCAATACTTCAAGTATGCATAAAGTATCCATATCATACAAAAGACATACCACCAGATACTGAAACTGTTTAAAATTTGTGGGGGTGTCAGATTTTTTCAGAGGAAACATTATGATGGTTTCTCTGCAAAATTAATCCATTACAAAGCTGAAGCAAATTCAGTATTCTGGTAAATACACGTAATCCTAAGGATATTAACTAACAAAATGCATCTATGTAAGTAGCAGTTTGGTAGCTGTCTGGAATCCTTTCAGAGAGCAATGCAGACAACCCTGCCACTCCCTTTTATTGCAAGAACCAGGGCAGCTCCAAGGGCTGAAAACAAGCCAGACAAACCCTGCGTGACACACAAGGATCTCAGCACTGTGCTGAGTAGTGCAATCAGAAACACAGCAGAGGTTTAATTTATCTTACCTACAGAGCCAACCTGTATCTAGCAGATTTCATGCCTTGCAAAAGTATTTGTACCAGCTGGGAAATGCAATCACTGGAAGCACTAAAGCTCTGTCCGTGCAATCTCGTATGTCAAATAAGAATCTGGTATAATACATTGAAATCTTACAATCCAACTTAACTCAGAATTGATTACTGTATTTTTACAAGACAGTAATCAAGAGCTCTAGTGCACTAAAAGCAGAGTAGGTCTATTGCCAAAACAAAAAACAAGTTTACATAATAAAAGGTCTGACCTTTTAAACAATTAAGGGTATTACTAAATCATCCTCGTGTGAGGAGCTCAATTTCAAACAATAGCATGAGTCATGAATAAACACGCTGTTTGCAAAACTTGCCTAAATAGGGTCGGAAGAGTTTAATTGCTTAACTCTTTCCATTAAAGGAATATAAAAATGTCTCTTGTTTGAGAAACCAATAGATCTCTGAAACTCAGTAGAGAGACACATAAATATATCAAAAAATACATTAAAATTGAAAACTAAGAAACAAAAGGAGCAAGCTCAATATTTCTTACACAACCTCAACCTACTTAAATACTTCTTAGTCATGTATGACTAGAAATACCAGAAGTTCTTCATGTTACTTTTTAGGACATTCATACATCAATTTATCAATACCTCCCCAAAACAATTTATTTTTCTCATTTTATCACACAGGTACATCATACCAATTTGATCAATATTGACTGCAAACCCGGTTCTCTCTTGCCCCAGAAACAAACTTCTACTGCCAGAATGTGCTAAGTTTTGATCCCTCCCCACTTTCAGTTCCAGTTACTGTTGAGATGAATCAGGAGATCTAAAAGACAAGGCAAGTGGGACAACTCTGATAACTAAAAGACTGAAATGAAAATGTAAAACTCTAAACAACCACCAGTTCACAGAGTTCAGTAGTTTGCCATCATAAGCAACCCTATAATAAAAAATGTATCAGAAAGGGAAAAAAAAAAGTCTGCTATCAACTAAACACTAGCACAGCTTTTTCTGTTGCCCAAATTGAAATCTTTGGGGCAAACAACAAATCCATGGGAAAAATAAATACTGTGCCATGTAAGAAATGAATACATAAGTAAATAAATAAAAAGACCCTGGGTAAAAGAGTCTAGATACTCCCAGGAACAGATCACACCACACTACAAAGTCAGAGAACCCCTTGGGGTCGTCAGCCTGATCCAGGAGAACCCTCAATACGTGGTACCTAAGAAATGATAATCTAATTAGCACGAACATTTGCATGAGATGCAACTTTTCTGCCATACAGCCATTTGTCTCATAACATTCCACTTCTTCATACTGAAAGCAGCATAACTTACTCATTTGGCAGAACCAGTCCACGTGTGGATTGCAATTAAACTTTGCTCACACTAGGGAAAATACTGGCATCTGGTTTATGCAAGATCTTATCCCTCCTGAAGATGGCTCAGTTTTAAATGAAGTAACAGAAGTCACCTTATCATTACTCCTTGCCATAAAGGCACCATGAAATTTCTGGCCAACAAGACCTCTGTAGAAGCCTACAGAGATTTGCAGCAGAATACTGTTGTTGCTATGAACCAGAAAAATGGAAATGTGTGTGAAATCACTGGAAAACATGACAGAACAACGATTAAAAGAATGATCTGTACTGATAACAAGTAATCCTGTTGGGAGCAGTGCCCTGGGAAAAGTAAAACTGAGGAATGTGTTGTTTATATCTAGACCAGAAGGCCTGCCTTCTATAAGATCACAGTACAGTGACTCTTCAGAAGAAGATCCTGCCTTTCTAACACCAGGAGGATGGAAAGTTGGAGTATATCACATGTGGCATTTCTTTTCCTGTATGACCAACAGGAAAACAGACACGTATTAAAAAAAAAAAAATCGAAACCAAAAAAAACCCCCAGGTAATAAGCATGAACTTCATTTAAGATTTACAGTTACAAGCTCTTTGTTGCATCAAAGGACCTTTTATACATATAAAGCTGAATACCAAAAAAGATCTGTCCAAGGACTAGTACATCATCACCAATGAAAACAACCTCAGAGACATGAAAACAGCCTCAGAGACCTGACATCCAGCATGTCTTACACTGCACAAAGAAGGTCCTGGCCAGACCAAATGCACACACAGCTTGGTGCTGTTATTCTGATACCACTGTACTGTGAGTGAATCAAATTTATGACAGAATGAGTGCAAGTGGGTAAAATGAGAATGGTTTCCCCCTTCCATGAGATCCTGCACTGCATTTTGTTACATAAAATCTTTTACAAGTCATCTTCCAAGCCTTTAAAAAAGGGGATTGGACCTGCAAGCAAGAAACTGTTCAAAACCACAGTGTGCTTCCACTGATATTTGTACAAAAATACTCTTTGTAAAGCTTAAATAAGAGAAAGAGTACACAGTACAAAAAAAAAAAAAATCCTTATTAAATTGTGAATTATTTTCAAATTTTTCAATATGTAGTTGAATGATTGCTATAAATTAAGTCAGCAAAATTAATTTTTCTGCTTTTTCAACCTTACATTTAATTTACAGTTGTAAAAACCTCAGCAAAGCATACCAGTATTCTAGAAATTAACTGTTGCTGTGTAGAAGTTAACAAGAATTTCTGTTTTGAAGACCATTGCCATCCTTCAGCCTGTGATAAATAAATAATTGTGATTCGTGAAACAAATGGGTGATTACATCAAAATAAAACAAACGGACTGTAAAACTTAATTACACCCCCATAAAGAAATAAAACAGACCCTTACAAGGTCAAGAGGCCTAAAACCTCCTTACTATCCTAAGAATAAAATATAGTAGAACTTTAAATCTTTAGGCCCCCGTTTGTCCAAGAATGCATGAATTATGACCGGTTGTAGAGATAACACTTCTAGCTTTAGCTGTAAGAAAACCCATATATTAAATACTTAGCAAAAACCTGTAGAATGTATATGTATATGATAGAATTAATATGCATGAAGTAGCTAAGATAAATACTAAATGTACCCTGTAGTAGGTGTGCAGATTTGGGAAACTGGTCCCCATCTCTGTCACTCAGCCGCCTGCTTGCTTTTACCATATAATAAACTATTATTCAAGAACTTATAAAAACTCGAGACTTTGTTTATCACAAGCCCAAGGAGAACAATAACTCACAGAAACTTATTAAACCACTGACAGCCAAGAAAAGAAAATAATCATCACACCTTATTTATGTCCTTAGTAAAGATGCACCTCTCAAAGTTTAGCAAATTTTTCAGCTTTTTAAAAGCAATTTGACTGAATAAGCCAACTGGCATATTAATGTCGAGGATATGATCAATGGGAAATAATAAATTAGAAAGAGACATCAACATTTCTATGTGCAAACATGAATCAAAAGATACAGTAATCAGGTAATATTGTAATTATCTGTATCTCCAAATGAGAGATTTTTCTCTCCTCTCCCCACTCGCTATTTTTTTTCCTAACTAAATTCTAAAAATCCCTACCTATCTCTGTTGCTTATGGATTGCACCATTTTTTGTTGCTGACAGAAAATACATTTTAATTCTTACTTTCTATTTAAATATAAGGATTCTTTGCTGAGCTATGGAAACCACATACTCCTGTACATTAATTAACACTCTACTAAGAATGAAAATTTTCTTTCCTTTTCCCCATAGCACAAGTAACCAAGGGAGTAAGGAGTTTTCAGCATAGACCAAAAGCTGTTCCATTTCATTAGATACAGTCACTAAATACTTGTTGACTTTTGGAAGTAGAGTTTCAAGCTACTTGCTCTCATACAATGCTAACAAGCAATGCAGAAGTATTTTACATTTGTTATACCTTACACATAAACACAATAAGCCAACATAAAAAAAAAAAAAATAGAAATCTTACCTTCTTCTGGTACCAAACTATAGCATCAGTTACTTTGGACGCCATTTATTCCACTGAATTCACAGAGTCATTTTAGGCTGTTAACAGAAAGAGACAGAAATTTACTTCTACCTTCCCGGTGAAGGGTAAGATAGGGAATGTAGAAACACTCCCATTACCTGCAAAGCACTGAACAGCTGTGTTTACTTTTACTAAGAGTTTGGGGGTTCTCCTCTAAGCAAACAAAAAACTACAAATCTGCTGCTACAGGACATCAGAAGCCTCAGTTTTGTCCTTCCTTCACAGCAGAACACAGGCTGCACAGAGATGATCTGTCATTGTCTCACAAGAACCTCATGAGAATTATATTACATGCCCCTTTTTTTTCCCGATAAATTAAGCAACCTATAGTTATTAGCCCAGCACAGTATTCTGAAGTCCAGGAATAATCATGTTATAAAACGCAAGAAAAATTCATACAGACTATTAGATATGTTTGGGAAAAAAAAAATCAGTGCTAGAACTTCACTAGTCATAAAATTAATATCTTCATGAAAACAATAGAACAAAACTAAGTCAAAAGGAGAAAACCAAGGAAGAGAAGCATGTTTTACTCTAATGATAACAAATAGCAATAGCATTAATTAATCTTTGATGTCACTGTCATTAGTTTTCAATGTGGAAAAAAACCAAAAGCCAAACTTCCAGCCTACATAAAACATTTGTACCTTGAAAATTAAGTTTTCTGTCATGCAATAAATCAGCCAGAGTTAATTCAGGAAAAAAAAAGGAGAAAATAAACATAAAAAGCCTTCAGGTCACAACTCTCTCATAGTGGGGAGCCCAGAACTGGACTCAGCACCCCAGGTTGGCCTCACTGATGGCAAGAAGAAGGAGGGGTAGCTTAGCCACCAACCACCAAACTATGCCTCAAAATTGGCCTCTCAGAAAAAACAAAAAACACAAAACAAAAACAAACAAAACCAACCAACCAAACAAAAAAACCACACATACCCCACCAAACCACTAAACATGGAATTCTGGGTTTATTTCTGATAAAAACATCACTCTCGTAACATTGTCAACAAATATTATGACCTATATTTCTTCACTGAATGGAAACAAGAATTATTAACTCATAGGCAGTTTTTATAGTGAAAGATTAAATGTGATCTTTATCTTTCTCTTTGATTTCAAGACATTTGTTTACAGCTTTCGCACAGATAAGAAAAGCAAAGAAAAATGCAAGATCCAAGAAATGGAATGAAAATCAAAACTGGGCAATAAATTAGAATAAGTGTCTTTATGAAACGCCTAAGCATTAGAGCAACTCATGACACTTTATTATATGTTGTTCATCACCAAAAATTTCAGGTTTTTCCTCTTTTTAAAGTAGATATTAGATTACTTGATTGTACCAGTTGTTAGTACAAAAATTGCAAATACTCCCTCTACAAAAGCCCTTTCAACACAGCCATCTGCCAAGATATTTTTTGGAAAGAAAAATGGGCAAAACGTCCAGCACACAGCTGGATAAAAGCACCATGCCATGCACGAGCAATTGGCTCACAGGCTGGGCACAAAGAGTTATAGTGAATGGGTTCATATCAGACCAGCAATGGGTCACCAGTGGGGTTCCACAGAGCTCCATCTTAGGCCCAGTTCTCTGCAACACCTCCATAAACAATGTGGACTCCAATATCTTTTATACAACTTCAGATAAAGTTACAACCCAAGAAATGTCTCAGAGAGCTTAGACTGTCATTGCAAATTTCAGAAATATCAGAACACTGACGATTGGTGCAACTGAGCAAACAAACACCACAATTTTCCCACTGTTGATAATATCATCATGTAAGTCACATCAAGTCAGCTAAAGCTGGCAGCCATGACTGTGTCAACATCTGTAATTGGTCCTTATTTGTTTCTGATAATAGTCTGTTTTTTCTAAAAGCAACTATCAATTACTAAGAATTCATTGGCAAAATAAATATAAAAATATTTATATCGATTAAAGCAAGAAGTCCAACAAAGACTTTAATATAACCTGGCATATCACATAGACTGGTCACCCTTCTTTCTCACACATACAAAGCTTACAACAGGATTTGCTTTCTTGTTTGAAAACCTGTTCAATTAAACTTAAATTTAAAATCCTTTGCTACATTGGACTAGAGACTCAAAGTGACACAAACCCCTTCCCCACACACACAAAGTCTCCACATGCATGACCTAAATCACCACTGCTCAGGGTCACACCTGCACCCTCGCCTTCCCCTCCTTTGAGTCCTCGTCTTGAAGGATCTGTAACTCCTTCTCAATTCTCTTAAACCAACATCCCCTCTCACACATAAAATACCCTGTTTCCTACCACCATAGTCACAGGATGAGAAAAAGGTTGGAGCAACTCATTATCAGCAGTAAAGAACTGCTGAACCGGCACAGAAATCTTTCCCTCAATAGCTACATTAACTTGATGTCTCTCTCCAAGGTCAATGATTTTTCAGGAAACCAAGGTTAACTCATGAATCCAAGACTTCAAACTGTGCCAAATATGGCTAAAATTGGATAAGCCATTTTAAAGGCAGTAACCTTTGTTTGCAGTAATTTTCTAACTCACTCAAAAATCTTTTGCCTCAAGAAACAATTACATCACAAAATTATAAGCCACGTATAATGAAGTAGTTTTACTTGATTTCTATCAACAAATGTGTTATTTAGATTATCCATGGGTTTCATATCTTCAAGAAACTCTGTACATTAAATCCTCTGTAGTCTATTTTGGTGGCATTTAAAGCAGATTTGCATACACATTTGCATAAACAAATGCAAATATGATGCTTACAAAAGTAAATATGACAAAATCATGGGATGGATGTCTCAAAACAGTGTGTGCTAAGTAAAAATACCTCTACAAGGAAATATCACATGCTTTCTTCAAGAGATACACAACCATTTCTGAGACAGCACTGTAATGAAAGGTGAAAAGGCTTATTTAATTATTTCTGGGCACTGTTTCTGGCTGCAGGGGCTTGCATTTGTCTGTGGTTTGACTTTTTCATTTGTCTTTTGGTTTTGGGGGGTTTAGGGAGGTGAAGTGAGACTTTATGAGTTTAATAGACTCAGCCTGAAGCTAGATTATCTGGATGAGCCTGGCTCTGACCCTGCATCTGCCCACAGCTCACCGAACACTTCAGATTGGAGACAAAGTATTGCAGCAATTTCAGAACTCTGCATATTTATTACAGGTTCATCTCTCATTCACAGCTGACAGTTCATATTGATCCTGAAATCAGCCTGTACAAGCCATGCACATCAGTATCAGCCGTGTAAAAGTGAACAAGTCAAAGCAGCTGACAGACATGCACAAGCACTACAGAGCACTGCCTGTTCTTCTGCCTGGTTCTCCTCCCATCCTCTCTGGACCCATCCATCTTTTCCGTGTTCTGTGTTGAATACTGGCATCTGGGACAGGGACCAGCTTTAGCACTCAGTTGTATAATGTCCTGTGCAGAATAACTACCGCAAGATTAACTTAATCTTAACTAGCTGGAGACTTAATAGCAGCACAAAAAATACTCCCAACTTCAGAGATTAGACAGAGCATCCAAATATAAAAGTTTGATCACAACATCTCTGTAACATTCAACAGAGCTGTTCATTACACTTCCATCAAACTCACAGTTAATGCTATGAATAACAAGCAATATTTTTTAATCAAAACTTCATTACTTCCTTAAAGCTAAAAGCAGATTATCTAGTTCTAGTGATCCCTATTCAGAAGTGGGGTTTCTTAGCTATTTCAAGTTTCAGGGCATAATCATATTCCATTTTAAGTACACACTACACCCCACAATCAATTGAGCAGTTTCTCAAAGGTCACAGAAATCTATATTTAGATGTGTTCAGGTAGCTAAATGCATGAAGCACTGCAGTGCTTACTGTGTAAGAAAGGATTTAAATAAATTCAAAGTAAGTATATTTAGAAATTTTACTCGTATCCTCAGGGTTTTGGCAACCCTAGTCAGACAAATGTATATATTTCTAAATGACAGTCTACAGTAAGTGAAAGCAATCTGAATTCTGACACAAGTCCAGAATAAAATTGCATTCCTTGTAGTGACAAAGAAAAAAAATGACAATTTTTTGAAGAATATACAAATCTAAGCAGTGTCAACTAGCTTAATTAAAAATTAAATTACTAATTAAAAATACAACACAAGCAAGGACACATAGGCAATAGTTCTTTCCTTACCTGTAAACACTGTGAATCACTAAGTATTCCAAGGAACCTGTCTCCTCTATAACAATCCCAACCTGAATGGTCAGGATACCATCCAGCTGTTGAGTCAAGACTTGAATGTCCTTCTCTACTCATTATGATCATGGAATGATGAAGTGATCAATTTGGCACGTTCACCATACATCATCAGGAGTAAAACTGCAAATCTGTGGCATTTGTCTCAAATGTTTTTTAAAAACACCACTGCTTTTTATTACCTTCAGAAGAACTTACGTTCACAGCAAATTAAAGGTGGTTTTAAAAAGGTTGCTACATAAAGCCGCGAGAATACTAGAAGATGGTTTCAATTGCTCTCCATGATAGACCTTTTTTACCATTATTAGATCCTCCATATTACAGTTTCACAATCACAGGTATAATTTCACTAAGATTCCCTGGTGTGCAGAGTAAGAAAAGACAACAAATCAGAATAGTGAAGCCCATGGTCTAAACTACTAATTTTGTAAGAACATTTGTATCGCACAAACTCTCTTAAAACATTACACCTGCTCCTGCAACAGCTATAAAATAACTTTAATGACATAAAAAACCTCCCTTTCCAGGTTCAACATCAAAATACAAGTTAACATTATCATCAGATTGCCGACATTATTTGATACTTTAAGTTAATTTTAAATGAGCCCAATAAACAGCTTAGTCACATTAGGCATCCGCTGTTGACTGAAAAGCTGCTTCTGCCATGACATAACAAACCAAGGCAGGTATCAGTGTAACGCAGACACAGCACTAAACTCACCACGAGTCATCCTTCCCACACTCAAATCCAGGGGAGTTCTGCCACTGCCACAAAGAACAGGGTTAAACCTTGAAGCAATGTTCCAAAGGAAGCATTCTTTTTCATGTGCATTACAAGTAAACTATTAAACCTACATATCCTATTTGAAGGGGAACATCAAATACTATGTGATGCACTCAGTGTTCTTTTTAAGTACTTTATCTATGCATCTGTTCCGAAAAGAGCATTTCAGAATTGCAAATTGTATACAACCAAATGAGAAACTTGTCACTCCCAGGTTCACACCTTTCAGTAGAAGTTTTACCATATTCTGTTCAGTTAGCCTCAAGAAAACCTTAAGCAGGTAAAAGGGAAGGAAAAAGTAAAGTTAAATTTAAAAAAAAAAGAAAAAACCAGACACTGCTAACTTAAGGACTGCATCCAGCAACCAGCATGAAAAGTACTCTTGCTACCATGCCTGCCAAGCCCCCCCAAGTTGCTGTCTAGCAATCCAAGGTCGTAATAGTTTGTAAATAGAGGAATTAACATACTTGCTTTCCCCAAGGAACAACAACTCTACTAAAACTGGATACCAGCATTCCTAACAAAAAACCAACAAAACCACTGAAAACCCAAAATACAATCCCCCCCAAACAACAGATAAAAAAAAAAAAATTAACATCTCTAGATGTATATTTGGGGAATTTTTTGTTTGTTTGAGGAGTTTATCAGGCCAACAGCATCAATAACAAAATATGAATCAGTGTCTATGCTGGCTGCTGTGTAACAAGCCCTGTACTTTTTGAACAGAGATGTACCAAACATGTCTCATATACCATGACACATACAGAGACTTGGCAGCATGTCCATGCCTGCCTGTGCCTCCAGTAAAATGTCAGGGACTGAAAAACTGATACTTTCTCAGGCCTCTGTATTCTGCCCACAAACCACTGCATCTGATCCCACTTCTGCCACTGCACATTTATTCTTCCTTATAAGCTCATGCCCTTTATCACTTACTAGCCCAGACAGGAAGATCTCACAGATGTAGCACATAGTTTGTAGTGAGAAACAGTTTTCAAATTCTGACGGGAAGTAGGCTCGGCTTAGCCATCTTCACTTCCACACCAAACACACCGACACTTGAAGCAAGAAAGTACCACAGAAAATAACTGTCTCCCAAGGAATACTTGTTTTGCCAGAGAATTACACAACTGTCTGAAATAGTAACAAAATGTTGACTATCAGGATTTCTGAGATTTATTTCAGGTTCTGGTAAAAGAACATTGAGTGCAGTTGCTGCAACTGCTGCAGCCGTTTCTGGAATCTATGCCCTCAGCCTTAAGGTCTGTGCAAGTTTCCTAATTTTGTTACATAACTGGTCCATGCCTCCATTTGAAGTGACACGATACAATCTCATAGACACCTTACTCATAAAAATAGGGGGGAAGGACTCTTCTACAGAGAAATTCAGGATTCTACACCTCTCATAATTTACCCTTGAGCCGGCTGAAGTACTCATAAATTAGCAAAAAGCTTCTACTATTTAGACATACTCTACCATTTAATAAAGTAGACAAATCCAAACCCTTAAAGGAAACTATAATCAAGTTAATTTTGCTTATCTTCTATAAGAGACATTAGTTTCAAAATTCCCATTAATCCAAATACAGTAATTTCTGCTAGCACAATAGATCCAAAAGCTGTTTCTGGAAATGCTGTATCTTTTAAAAAAATTAAATTAAACACAGTATATGGTCAATCTTGAGTTCAGTTCTATTTAATTCCTGGGGTTTTTGTACTAAACACCATACACATACATACATATCCTACTAAACATTTGTAAACTTGTACTGAGAAATCCTTGAAATACTGCAGAGATTTGCTCTTAAAACTGTCATAACTTTATTAAAGAACAGAATATCTATAAACACCAAGTTTTTAATTTATATATACAGCCACTTTAATAAATACTTGAAAAAAACCAACAAAACAAATACAGTATCCACCTTGAAATAAAATGCTAGGCTCCTTTTCTCCTTCATGTGATTCTAAACACAATAAATCTTGCTTACTGGAAATTCTGACTTGTGTTTAGGAGGGCTTGTTTATCTGTCACCAGGCATTGCATAGCAGAGTTGTGGCTTCTCAATGACTACAGTCAGGAAGCTGAAAACCACTCCTAAATCACCAAGTTTGCATCATGTTCTACAAATAGTTATCCAACAAGTTTTTGAAGCAGCTGAGGCATGAAGTGGCTGAGCTGTCAGAAAAAGTTGCTGTCTCTTGTAACAGTCACTGTTCTGTAGGAACACAGTAGCAAATGCTGGATCTCTATTCTTTAAAAAGTCTCTGGAGGGATCCAAGCAAGGAATTGCAGAGTAACAAGCCTTACAAGTGTATCTGGCAAGATCCTCAAAACAATCATTAAAAATGGAACAGCATTATACCCTAAAGACTATCTGATAGGGTCTAATCAGCAGTTTCTGCAGAGGAAGATCGTGTCTCAGTCTATCAGTATTTCTGAACATGTCAAACTATCTGATAAACACGAGCAAGTGATAGAACATACGTGGACTTTCAAAGAGCCTTTGGAAAGATGTCAAAGACTTCTAAACAGACCGATGTCTATGAAAAGCAAACATTGCCACAGATCAAAACCAGTCAGAAACACTGAACAAAATTTGGAGTCAACCTTCTTCAATGCCATGGGCTAACTGGATAATGAAGATTAACAGTAGCATCCAGACTGTCTAAAGTGGCTTAGTGATCACCTGTTCCGATGCCCAGGAGCACCTTGGATCGCTCATCACTGGCCTGTAGCTCTTCCATTCAGTGCCAGTCCAAGGCAAAGTGCACACAAATCCCTGTTCTCCTTCATGTAGAAGCATCCTAATCTCAAAACTAAACTCAGACTAAATCTTCCTAGTCTGGTCTCTCTGTTCCACCAGCCTTCATGTGCCTGAGTGCTCTGTAGTGACAGAGGCAGACACTCGGGGCCTCATCCAGCATACACATGCCCTAGCGCCTACCTCTTTCTCAAGGTCTCATGTTAAAGGATGAGAGCATCCAGAAATCACAGCTTCCAACTCTCTAAGAATGCCAACCATCAGACTTCTACTAGAAACACAAACACAGACACTCATCACACCGCTGCTTCATCAGAAACTGACAGCTAAGGGTGGCTTACAAATAAATTGAGATGCCCCACATCCCTTCTGGCTTCCAGAACTCTGAAGAGGGAACTTCCAGCAGAAGCAATCACTCCCTAAAGACTCGTAAGGTTCACACAACTGATGGCAAAGGTGAGAACGGCCTAGTAAGGCTTCACAAGGGTTTTAACCACTCTAAGGCAGTACCACCACAGTCACTACCCCTCCTCAGTCACCAGCTCCCACTCATCTTTCTACCAGCATCGGAGCCCACCACACAGCAGACAACTGTACCATTAACTGTACCACTGTTAATCTGAACTAATTAAGACTATTTCCCCCCTCCTCCTCCTCCTATTTGGACCAGTAGACTAGCGTTTCTATAAAGTACTGCCTAAATTAAGTCCTGAAACAGAGTGAACTGAGTCCTGTCCTATTATTCCAAATTTTAAGCCTCTGTAAATATGTCCAGCGACTTGCTGTATTTATCTTTTACACTTCAGGGAAGAAAAGAAAACCTGAAGTAGTAACATTTCTAGATAACAATTAATCTTAAATTGGCAAAGCTTAAGAATACAGATTAACTTTTACAATGAACAGGCAACATAAAATCAACCATGTCAATGTTAACTATAAGTGTTATATGTTACATATGTTATATGCATACTACTCAAAGCTTTAAAAACAGGTATCTCAAATCCAGAAAGGAACTTTGGCAGCTCAGGGAGCTCTTCCGTCCAATATACTACAGTCAGAAGAACATAGAGACAGTTGAATAAATGAGGAATGACAAGGAAAACACTGCAGTACAGCTCTGTTGACTGGTTGCACAACCTGATTTGAAACACACATATTTTATTGGAAGAAGAATATTAAAATAATGAGGGAGGTGTTCTGAGAAGGGTTATGAATTGCCAATCACTTAAAAGACTCTCCTGTTGAAACAGGCAAGCATGAACAGGAAAAAAAAGGAATTGTAATAAATTAAATGAGACTTTAAGAAATATACAGAAAATCCAGTCAAGAAAACAACAGTTTTCAATAATACAGGGAACTTCATTCATTAATTGAGCTGAGAGGATAGCAAAGCCAAATTTTTAACAGAGAAATATTATATTACAACACATAATTGGACTGTTAAAGTCAGTACCACAGGAAGTCATTGAAGCCAAGACTTTACTCCCATTCGAAAAGAAAGCAGCTATTTAAACACACAGTAACAAGAAGCGGGAAAAAAATCAACACAGAGCTGAGGGAATCTCAAGCTTCATGACCCAGAATGCAAGAAAACATCCAAAAAGATCACTGGGCTGTATTTGGCCATACAAACACTCCCCTTAACTCGACCCCTCCACGGCCAGAAGCCAATACCAAGGAGAGCGTGTGAGCAACACATAGAACAAACTGTCCCTCAGACAGATCAACATGAAGAGTGTTCAGCTGCCAAGACAGCATCTGCCAACCACCTAAACCCCAAAAGCATCTGGCGCTGGCCAACTTCCAAAATGCAAGGCTTGCACGATTTCATATTTGATGTGATATTGCTTTAATTTCTTCTCCTACTTTGCAATTGCATTTTATTTTTTAAGAACAGAGTAACAAATTATTTCCAAATGAGAGTTCAATCCAATGCTTGGACTCATTCCAGGAAGCCATCTAGACTCTCTGGAGTATGTCTACCAAGACCACCTTAAATGAGCAAAGAAATAAATGCTGAACATTACATGTTTCACTTAAAGAGTATTCCCAGTGGAAAACAAATTTGGAAAAAGATCCCCTTTACACGTGTAAATTAAGAAATAAGAGTATAGCTCTAGGAACTCTCTGATATCCTTCCCTTCAACTACAAAAAAAACCTCACATCACATACACAAGCTGTATTTCCAAATTTCTTGACAATATAATGGCTATCTCTATACATAGGTACATGTTTGCTCTAACTTTGAAGTTGCTCTGAGATGGGGTTGGACAAGACTGATGACTTCCAATGACCCCTTTCAACTAAATTATTCTATGATTACATGTAGAGCATACCCAAACATTACACAGCAATACATTATAGCCCTAATTACTATTTTTATCTCTACACGCAATTTATTAAGCTCTTTGTATTCTCCTTACAAATTTGAATATGGTTTCTACAAGCAGTTTACCATTTCCTATGCACTCAGAAAGGACTTTATGAATAACATTACAGTAAACTCAAGGGAGAAAACATGATAATTAAAGCTTTCAAAGTCTTATTTTTCACACCACCACCTATCTTTGAGTAAGTGGTGGTCAACCGTCCTTGACCAGTCAGAGGGAGCAGTACCCCTGACAGAGGTATCCCAAGAGTTTTGTTTTGTTTCCTTCATACAACAACAACAAAAAAACTACAGAAAAAACAGGCCTACCTTGCCCCGTGGGCAGGAGCAATTAAGTCTGTCTGTTTTTACCAGTGTCCCGTGGCTCCCTATTGTCCTGCTCCACCTCACCCATCATTGTTTTCCTGCCCCCCCCATCTTATTTGGCTGCTCCAGTAGCAGTAGGCACCATGATGGCTCAGAGCTCAGTACACAGACTGCCCAGCAGTTGCTCACTTTTTGAAGAGGGAAGGGACTCAATTATAACTGCCTTTTTTTCGATGGGAATATTAATTTGGGTCACTACCTGTCAAAAGTTTTATAAAAATTTTATAAAAATTGTGTACTTAATGTCTTTTAGTTGCCATTAACTTTGGTTTCATCATCTGAGAAGTGACTCAAGTGGGAGAAGACAGACAATGAAAGTAATTGTACAAGCTTTTTGCCCTTAGTGAGCCTTGCTAAAATATCACATAAACTGTCCGGTGATGAATCCATAGATAATGCTGTTTATTATGAAAAGAACACCCTCCTAGACAAAAAAAAAAAAACCCAGAATGCAACCTTTTACTGTCATTGCTTTCACTCCCATGGGTCATGAGAAAAGAAAAACATTTCTTCAACAAAATTTCTACTATAAATCAGTAGAAGATATGATATTTAGAAAAATCTGGGAAAACAGCATATGTAGCTTTGGAGAATTAGGAAAGAAATTATGTCC